GATTTTTTCATGATTTTATTTAATTATCTTTTCAAGAATAAAAAGAACAGGAATTATTAAAACAATGATGATCTTTTTAATAACAGGTATTTTATTCTTTATTTCAATATTTGGATTTATTTTCTATTTAAATATGACAAGTAATCCAATTGTTTGTGGACCAATTAAAGAAATCATTCTTCCAACTATTCAAGTACTTGGAGATACTTCTATTCTTCAAAGATTAACACTTCAAGAAATACCAATTTATCAAGAAATAATTAGTTATTATCCACAAGCACAAATTTATCTTAGTCTTTTTATTAAGAAAGCATCTGTTATTGGATTAAATTCACCAATTTTGTTAATAGTTATAGGAATTTTCCTTCTATCAAAGAAAAGTATTCAAACTACAAGAATCACTGTTGTTTCATTAATCACAACAATAATAATTATGTTGACGTCAATTGAATTTATTACAAAAACACATGACATTCTTTCATGCATTATTTGTTCATTAATAATAATAATTTTGATTTTAATTATTGTTAATTTTATGATCTCATATGGACATTTATTCTTATTCCCAATTATTCTAATTAACTGTTGCTCAGTTGTAATTGGATTATATCGAGTCTTTGTAATAGAAGTATTCATTTTATTTATGATTGTTTACATCTTTTCATTACTTTACATTTATTTCTGGTCAAGTGGATATGCTGTATTTGCATCAACATTAATCTTCATTGGAATAAACCAATTACTGCCATTAAGAAGTGGTTATTTACTTGCAACTATCTTCTTAGTAACTGGTTCAAAAATTAATTGATCTTTTTTTCTTTTTTAAATGAAAGATTTTCTTTTATAACTGAAAAATTGAAACATTATTGATAATTTATTATGTTTTTAACAAACAAAGCAAGATAGATAAGATAAAGTGGATTATATATTATTATGAATAAAAAATCTTATTATGTGTATTTTAAACAATGCAATGATTAGCGATTAAAATTGTTATTTTTAAAAATGTTGTTTTCATAAAAAGAAATTGAAAAATATGAAGAACTGTTAAAATGGAATGAACCAAACAAAACTTATAATTAACAAGTTTGTTTTTTTTTTTGTTGTTTTAAAAATTTCTTTCCAAATATTAGAAAACTCTTGTTCAATTATCTTGACAAACTCAACTAGTTAGAGAATCTACTAAAGGTACTTCAATAGAATTAGAATCAATAAACATTTTAAAAATTCAACTTGGTAATAATGAAAATGATTTACAAGTCAAAGACATTACATTTTTAGATTTAAGTTCTCAACATTTGAAGACATTACCAAAATATTTAAATTCTCTTAACTTAATAAAATTAGATCTTTCTGATAATCAAATAGAAGGTGATATTAATCTTTCATTATTATCATCTCTACAAACACTTAAAATAAATTCTAATTATATTAATAGTGTTAGATTACCCTCTTCTTTAGAAAACATTAATATTTTCTCAAAATAAAA